TCCATACATTTCTCTCTGCTAACAGAACAGGGCAATAAGCTAACAGGCATGCAGGTTGGTACCTACTGGTATTTTAATTTAACTGAATATTTTAGGGGGTTGGGAGGAGGGTATTTGTTCTCTGTTTTGGTGTTCTGTGTATAATAATGAGTTGTGACTTGGTAATTCAGCAAAATAAACCAGTTTAGCACTGCTATGCCAAAGTCCAAAGTGCCCATAAAACAGCGGGAAGCATTCCTACGGAGAAGGATAACAGTCTTCACTCTGCAGGAGTCCTGGGGTTGAAATCTGCTCCCTGGGACCCATCGTGCCCAAGTAGGCTCCAGCCAAGCACGTGGGAGCCTTCTGCCTGCTTCTAAACAACGCCTGCCCCTCCACGGGGTGAGCCCCCCGGGGGAGACGGAGCCCACAGCCCTGAGCTCAGCCCCTGGCTGCGGGCTGAGGGGACCATCTGGCCACGCTGCCTAGGTGGCGGGTGCTCTCCGAGTCGTGCAGAATTTGGGGGAAAGCACAGGTTTTCCAGATTTTTTGATATGGTGCTTTTATTGTGGAAATAGTTTAAGTTGCTTTTTATTCAGCAGCAGCCTGCGTGGGTGGTGCTCGGCTATAAACTCATTGCCCTTTGCTATTCATCAGTCTACCAAAACAAAAACAAACATGCTGCTGTAGTCCTGAAACCCTCGCGTTCGTTCCCGGGGAGGATGGGTTAACTACCAACCGATCAGCTCACGTAAGAGACCTGTGTGAACCTGGAACGAGATCTACAGAGTGCCTGAGGGAAGAGAAAGGACAGAAAATTGAAAAGAAAATTGAGAAAGAAGAGATTGATACATTCATTTTTCACAGCTCAGAGTAAGCAGAAGAAATGGATTCTTTAAGGTGAAAAGAATGGGCACTTAAATGGCAATGAAATTATTCTGTAAATTCTAGCACTTTGGCAAGTGTTGGACAGTAATCAGATCCATTTAAATACATAAATTCAGAGATTCATAAGGCCAGCAGAGACCATTATGTCGTTTCTTCTGACCGTCTCCATCATGTGGGTCATGGACTACCTTTTATATATATAAATAAAAGAATTATTGAGTGCCAGTTCATGGAGCTTGATTTTATTTTATCTGATTCAAAAATCAGACTAGCACATATCGGGAGTAAGAGCGTGGAAATTGCACTACTACAAAAACTCATCTTACAGGAAAAATCAGGCATGCATGTGCATGGTTTTCAGATAACAGCACATCTGAGCCACCAGCGAAGTGCTTAAAGCAAACCTGGGAAATGAAGGAAGCCAAGTGAGGCATCACTGTTATGCAGGACGATATACAGAATAGTTAAATACACTTTGTGTGTGCAAGAACCTCTGCTGCAACAAGTTTAATGAACAGGAATACCGGTAAGAGCGTGGAGTGAAGCGTACCAGTGTGTTGCAGCGGGCCATCTGCGAGGGGACCGATGCCGTTCCCCTTCAGCGTGCCCAGGGTCCATGGGCCCTGCACGAGCACCTCGGCACAGCCTGGCCGAGGCCCCGGGGAATGGCTGGCATCTGGAACCTGAACTGTGCCCAGACAGGGCCAGCTGTTCTGTGACTTTATCCCACGCGACTCTGGCAATGTGCTCATTCCCCGAACTCCCAGGCACTTCTTACACCTTCTCAGGCCACCCTGGCAGTACCCAGCCGCCATCGCTGCTACCCGCTTCTGTTTTTCCTCTGTGAGGCCACGTTTTGTGGGTTTTGTGATGTCCCCTCTGCGGAAATCAAAGAGCCAGACCTGGCCATGCTGGGGACAGAGGTGATGGTGATGATGCCCGTTTCCACGGCAACCCCGTGCAGCCCTGTGCCCTGTGTCCCTGCAGAAGGTCGTTCCCATAGCAAAGGGCTGACGCACACCTGCACGGAGAAGCAGAGAAGGGGGCTGACGGTGAGCAGCTGGAGAGGCTGGCTGCCGGAGGGGAGGGAGCCAGGGCTCCTGCTCCCCAAGCCTCACCGACGCGGGGCATGTGATGTTTTTTAAATGTACATCATCTGGGCGCTGCGGGCCTAGGCCCTCCCGTGCGGCCTGCGGGATCCCTCAGGGCC